TGTGGTAAATCTATAAGAATTTCCCTTTAGTAGTGTTTTGGCATGATTTTTGCAATAAAACATTCTAGAAAATGTATTTAAAAAAATACTAATTTTCATTTATATAGATTTTTTCAGATTATACATTTCTTGAATGATATTTATACTTATGGTAAGTCCCACGGATCAAAATAGAATCCCAGATATTTTAGATTTTTTTTTAGTAAAGGGCTTGATCAAATGCATTTTCATTTCAAAACTCACCTCATTTTTAACAATTAAATGTAGATACCCCCTGTTATGCCTCTAATCTGATTTTACAAACTGACTCTGGCATTCCTTTAATTACAGCAAATGCTATAGATCATTTTAATAAATTTTATGACAAACTGACTTTAAATTCAAGTCCACTTCCTCAAACTCTATCAACTGATAGAGTTTCCATATGATCTGTCCAGAAGATTGCTGAGACACTGGTCAAGAGACTTGCTCCATGTTGTTGATCTTTAAGATTTGCTTTATTATTATATTTATTTCATTTAAAATTTTGTTTAATATTTTTTTCATTCTTCTGTATTCTTTTTGCTTGTTTTTTCCTCCCTTCATATCATATTTTCTCAATAATTTTGTAGATATCAAAATTTATCTTGACAAAAATTTGTACATCTAAATAATGAATAATATGATTTATTTAGGATTGTAACTGATTTGGCAGTCATTGTCACAATAATTATTGTTAAACATTTAATAATTGAAAGAGATTCCTCCAATAACGTTCTCAGCTGGACACCAGTGATCCTATACTTATTGGTAAGAGAAGCCATTATTGCCATCACGTGCGAGGGCAACTTCAGGGTACCATCAGTTATCATGATAGGCTCTACGAGGAAAGCCATTGCGTTCTCGATGTCTGTTCGAGAGAATGAAAAGTCTTCCAGAAGCCACACTCTGAAGTGTCTTGAGTGCAACTTCTCGACCTGGTAACAGATATTAGTGAACAATATACAAGACATGATATCTTTCGTCATTAATGAGTGGAGCAGCGCCAGCAAGATATATTGTGGGCTGCTCAGCTCCATGTCGGTGATGGTGGCGGGTCTGTAGATGTTGGCCCTCGCACCGTAGGCGACACCGGACAACATCTTGCTGAAAAGGATGTCGCGGCACATGGAGGAGACTCGCTTGAATGGCTGGAAATCCTCGTTTCGTGTCATCTCTTCAAACTGGCAAAATGAACTTCATGATAGTACCTATGTGACCTGAGTGGCTAGGAAATCTGTCAAGTTCATCCAATGAAGTCATAGTTGACATGAAATGCGTATGACTTTATTGGACAAAGAATAAAATTATGATTATAAAGTTTTAACTTGTGTTTTTAAGGTTTTGGTTCTTTCCCTATAGATTCAAGGTTTTTTTATAAGGTGAGGAAGTTTTTAGAATTGTTTTATTATCTACAGCCAAATACATTCATCATTTTAGAAAAAAATGGGTGTAGTAAAAACCTGGATTTTTTTATGAATTTATTTTATATATGACTTTATTAGAGGATTATTAATAAAGTTCTCGTTAATAAAAGTTAATAATGTTCTCGTGGTCAAGTATTATTTATTTTTTCAGTTGTAGCCTCGCATTTTAAGGACTGTATTAAAATATTATGATTATTAAATGTTCATTTCTGATTTCCTTTGTTTGTTTTTTTTTGTTTAAGCTTGCATATTATAATCCTTAATTTGAACTCACCTTTCTACTATTATAAATAATTTAAATATTATTAAATGTATTGAATGAAATTAATATAAAAAGATTACGTAAACATTAAGTACATTTTTATGTTTTATCTAATTTAATTTGAAAAAATATTAATTGAAAGCTTTTTCAATCTTTTTATTGGAGTGAAAATTAAAAATAGATTGGTTTGTTTGGACCATTGTTTTAAACGAAAGTAGACATTTTTGTAGTATGATCTTTTTTTTTTTTTACAAATCATTCACATTTTTTTAAGCCAAACTCAAATCAACAATTTTTAAAATTATTTTTTATTGAGTATTGCTTTTGAAATACCATTCATTATAAACTATTGGAGCTGAAATTATATTTGTTCACTTTTATGAATATTTGGTCATGATAATTCGAGTTCACTTTGGAAATAAACGACTGACAATTTCTGTAATTATATTATACAAAATACGACAAAACTTAGAGAGGCATATTCAGTTTGACATTTTATTTCATTAAAGTGTAAAATAAAATTTGTAGTAGGATAAAAATTTTAATGTAACTAATTTTCAAGTAATTCCTTGTAAACTCATAGTTTTTATTTACCAAAATGAACTGCAGTTTTATTATTATGGAGAATTAGTTGTTTTAATTGACAGCAGTAAAATGACAATTTTCTTTAAACCATTTGGCTTTTTATGAAAAAATGTATTACCTTCCAGCAAATCAGCTGCCATGTTAAGGATCAGTGGACAGAATTAGGACTTATTTTTTTATAAGACTGAGACTGAACTGGTGGGTAAAACTACAAAAATCTGTAACATATCTTATCCTTATTGGTTTGGGAAGTTTTCCAAAATGTGCGTCACAAGTGAATTGGTTTAAGTAGTTAAATCTAGATTTTTAAAAAAAGGCTTTCCTTTATACATGATATATGAGATATTTCTTGGTATCTGAGGTGTTGGTGTATACTGTAAGTTATTTATAGAAAAACACATAAGTGCAAAATTCATTTAGAAATTTATATATAATTCCAACTGTTCATGATTTTCAATGATGACCACCATTATAATCGATCAAGAAAGAAAAAAAATTAGTCTTTTGTCCTTAAAATATAGAGATCATATTCTTACATTTCAACATTAGTCGAATCCAAAAGCTGAATACAATATATAGAGTATTTGCCTTCCATATCATAGGATTTAAGGATAATCCTCAGAACTGGACATCAGAATCTACAATTTTATTTCAAATATTTCTCCCAGCTAAGAAGACAAAGGGAAATATAAAGATTTTTGAATTATTATTTCAAATCTTAACACACAAAAATCAATAAATTAAAAAAGAAATTATTATAAACTATTGAGTAATGATTTACAGTTTTTACGTTATTGTATCTTAACAGCCATGATTTATTAATCATATGTTTTTAAAAGTTTTAACTAGTTGAGCATGGTTTTACATTTAACTGTACTGTCAGTTTGATTTTCTCTTCAGTAAAAACAATTATGCACAATTAAAGTCATAATTTCTATTTTTTTTATAGAATAATTGATAATTAATAAAAAATAGAAACAATCAATCTATATAGTTCATGATTATTAATTAGGTTTGAATAAAGCCATGTTCCATTTTGATTGAACTGAATAATCCAACTTATATAAGAGCAGGATCCTTCCCCAATCTCCCTAGTCCATATATTTCTTTCATTGAGAGAGATGTGGAACAAAAATGTACCAGTTGAAAACTGGATCTTTAGTTTTGAAATAAATTATTTTACTATTTGATAAATGGGTGATGAATGAATAATGATGAGAAAGATGAATGAGTGAAAATAATAGCATTTTTAAAGGAATTGACCAGTGTAGGATAGTTAACTATTTTGTTTTTTAAATATTTAAAATGGTCTGAAAATAAATTATGGCTTTTTTTCGTTTAGCTTTACAGAGCTTGTAGATATTTGGTCAGTTTATTTGACATCTTTGTTTAGGGTAGCTTTCGGACTAAAGCTGCCCTCCTCCCCAAATAATAAAATATAACCATGTTTTATGAAAAAAATTATCTCTAAAAGTATTATTGTTCGTCTAATTACATTTATTAGGAGTTAAAGAATACTATAGGTAGTTAGTTTCTTTTTTTCTTCCGAAATAATTATCCTAATATATAGATACAAAAAAATATATATTTTCAGGCTGAAGCCCCTCAAAATTAAATCTTGGATCGGTTAGTGCCTACCGTTGATATGATAAACAGACAATTTTTGTAATTTTAATGGTCTTAATGATTTGTTATCTGTGAGCTTTAAGCTTTAGCTCCTTTTAAAACACACTTCAAAAATTCTATAATAGCCCAACAATGCCAGAAAATAATTTCTATGGAAATTAGAGCAGTAAGTAAAAGTTGTGTTGAGCGCAACCTATTTTTTATTTACAATCGTCCAATGAATACCGAACAGTCAAATATTTGAACAAGAAATAAAAACAAATTAAATTAAATATTTATTAAGTCTTATTCTTAGCAAAATACTAAGATTTAACTGTCAGGGTTTGATCTATTATATAGAACAATACTGTGAACTCCCAATCTTCACTTCCTCGATAGATTATACAGTTTCTATTAGTTTTTTCTTTCTAAGCAGTTAACAGAAATACTAGAGGACTCATTTGAGAGTTATAATAAATCCTGTAATAGACTTTTAATATCAATTGAATGATTATATTCAACTAATACAAATATCAAAAGGGTCTCATAGTTGATTAGTCACTTTATGAGAAATCAATAAACTTTTCTTTGAATTAAAGTTTCTTGCATTATTTTGTACTGAAATATATGAGCTTAGAAATAAAACCTGAGTTCTAAATATTATTTTACGCTAATTCAATGTTCAAGTAATCGCTAATTCAATTAAACATTTAGTGAATGTAGTAATGGTAGTTTCTGAATGAACCAATGTTGATAGGGTAATGATAGTTAAAAATATTACATTTTAAGATAATTAATTGTCCATTTATACATATATTGTCCATAGTTTTTATACATTTAATGATATAAGTCCTAGAACTTATACAATCACCATAGCTAATGGAATTAAAGTGTAACGATTCATGATATCATCCTTATTATGAGTTATTTTACTGATTTATTACTTTTAAAGATTGATAATAAAGGAAATTCATATGAAATGAGAGAGAAAATGACACATTTATGGTATTTTTAAGGGTAATAATTGGCGAGAAAGCGTTATCATTGTGTCATAAGAATCGATTAGTTCAATTCGGTCGAGTTGTAGATAGTTGTATAACCAAGTGAAACCTCAGTGAGCTACGTATTGACTTTTGCTATTGCCCGAGTCTGCATCTACCCTTTTTTAACAAATTTCTTTTACTTGGATTCCTGGACAGTCCGGTCATCGGATTAACCAAAATGTCTGACGATCTACCTAGCACCTACGATGTTATTATATTGGGTACGGGGATGGTGGAATCCATCGTAGCAGCTGCGGTCGCTAGAACAGGTAAAAAAGTTTTGCATCTTGATCCCAATACCTATTACGGCCAACTGTGGGCAACATTAAGTCTGGATAGTTTCGAATTGTGGGCAAAAACAGGAACTTCGAACACTAAAACACTTAAAGGAGAAGATTCATTCAAAAGCCTATCGGACAAAGCCCTCAAGTATTACGAAACACAAGATGAGAGGGATTGTATTTCGGACCTTACCTTTAATTGGAATATAGTAGAAGATATACCTGAAAGTGAGGAGGAACCTAAGGAAGAGAACGCTAGTGGAAACGAATATAGTATCAAGAAAATTAGAGATGTCTCAAGAAAATTCAACATTGATCTGGCCCCAAAACTGCTATTTGCTAAAGGCCCAATGGTTGAAATATTGATTAAATCACAAGTTTCCAAGTATGTTGAATTTCTTAATGTTAATAATATTTTAATTTACATTGATGATGCAATTGAGAGAGTTCCTTGTTCCAAGTCTGATGTATTTTCTTCCAAAAGTGTTAATGTTGTCGACAAGAGGCTATTAATGAAAGTTTTGACTTCTATTCAAAGCTATACTGAGGAATCTCCTTTCTTTCAAGAATATGAAAATAAAACATTCCTCGATTATTTGAAAGCTAATCTTCCCGAAAAATTTGCTAATTTCATTCTTTACTCCATTGCAGCCGGTGATCAGAACACACCTTGCTTAGAAGGTGTTCAAAAAGCGAAAAAATTTCTTAGCTGCTTAGGCTACTATGGTAATTCCCCATTCTTATGGCCTTTATATGGCAGTTCAGAATTATTGCAGGGTTTCTGTCGACAGTGTGCAGTATTCAGTGGTATTTATTGTCTGAATAGAGAAGTCGAAGCTATAGCTGTTGAAGGTGACAAATATTACGGATGTGCTTCCAATGGAATCCTTCTGCAGTCAGAGCATCTTGTGGTTTCCAACTCCCTCTTACCCCAACAATTCCGAGGAACAGGCCCTTCTGTCAAACGTGCTGTTCTTATCACTGACAAAAGTATTTTCCCCGAAGGCAAAGAAGGTGTTTCTCTTCTCCAGTACCCCACAGATGATTCTGCTGCTACCATTCTGGAACTCAGTGGTAATACCTGCTCTGTACCTAAAGGACTCTTTATTGTACAGATAGTGGGCAACTGTTTGGAGGAAGCAATTAAGAATCTGTTTTCCGAAGGAGGAGATGATTCCAAACCAAAGATCTTATACAGTCTTCGTTTTACCCTTCACCAGATGGAATGCACAGGCAAACTTCCCGAAAATATTCATGCCTGTCCCGGACCAGATTTTGCTACTGATTTTGACGCAGAAATCAGGAAAGCAGAAGAAATTTTCAAGAAGATTTGCCCCGAAGAAGAATTCTTCGCACCCCTTCCTCCAGAACCCGAACCACCATCAGATGAACCTGATTCACCAGAAGAGGCAACAAATGATGCTTAATTTTTTTAATTTTATTTTTTAATTACATTTTGTTTTTGCTAAGCACGCTTGTACATAATTGTTATCTATCTTATTTATTCTATCCCCCTTGCGCATTCCTTTTAATTATATTTTCTTGTTTTACTGTATTTTTTCTATTTAATAATTAAAGTAAAACGACATTAGTTATAAGTAATTCTTAAATCTTTTTCATATGATTGAAAATCATTTACTTGTTATTAAGTCAATATTTCGTATTTATTATTATTTTTTTTTATCGGAAGTATTAATGTTTGTTAAAACATGCACAGAGTTTATATTTTTGCATGTATTTCATTTTTATTTATTTGTATTGTCATTCCTAAATGCATGCCATATTATATGTGCTTAAAGTTCCTTTTTATATTGTTTGTATTATATTAAGCTTTTAATATATTTTTTGTTTTCTTTTCAAACAAACTGAAAAGGGTGTGTGGTGTGCCTAGGGATGGAGAAATATTGATTTATTCTTATTTCCTAAGTATCATGGCTTTATTATTTGATTTAAGGTAAAAGTTTATTAGTAAGTGATTTGCTTTGGGGTGTTTGATGAGCCACTCAAAAGCTAACCTAACTGATACTCTTTCCGCTGTTATGTTAATCAGTAAGACTTGTGATCCTTACTGTAGTTATTTTATTTTATTTTTAGCTGAGTATTGCTTGACAAATTTGTAAAAAAAATAAATAAATAATATGATAATGCTCAGAATAACAGTTTTTACATAAATTCACTTTGAACAGAATAGATTAGTCAGACACACTTATGAATGGCTCATATTATTATGAAATGATTTATGACTTATTATGCTATTCATATAGTTAATAATAAAAGACAAGATGTTTTATAATAAATAATAATGTTATTTAAAATAGTTATAACATTTATATTATATTTGATTTTTGTCCTTTTTTTGACTATCCCACATATATCCAAAATAGAACTATTTGTTATGATACATGCTAGAAATGTAACTTCATATTATGTGTAATTATTTTTCAACAAATAAACACCAACAGTGATATGTTTTGAAATTATTAACCTCTTTCCTTTTTTATTTTATTCCTCTACACCATATTTAATGAAGTGTTTCTTGAGAAGAAGCTAATGGTACAAGAATAAGTTGAATAATTTTCTTAACTTATTTTCAGAATATAATATAAATATATAATCAGATTAAATATCAAGTTATCCATTGCCAAATTATAGTCTAATAAAAGTTATCTTCAGAATGAGTTCAGCATTTGCAATTACAATGTTTTGTAGGTAAAACAAATAACAATATTTGTTGAATGTTTATTTTTTTGCAATCAGTATCAAGGCTATTTGTGATTATTAGATGAGGTTATATTTACACATCACTGCAATCCAAGATGATATTTGGTTTAATAATAATTCTCAATGTTTCTTTATGTTATTTTTATTAATTTCTGTTTTATGTTAAATATGAATATTTTTATTAATTTTATTTGTGTACAAAAGAACTGTTTTATAACTAGTTTCTTTCTTCCTTCAATATTTCAGACAAATATTATCATGTTATTCAAAGCTAGGTTCCAATATGATTAAAAAACTGTGGGAAAGAAAATTTCCAACTTTTCAATATTTATTCCATTTATATCTGTACTCAATTTAACTAAAAAACGAGGATCAAAATTAAAACCTGAAAAGAAAAAAAAAAACAGGAATTGGTAAAACTTATAATATCCTTGTTGTCAGAAAGCCATAAGAAATGAAAAAATAATTTATGGGTCTTAGTCTGGCTTAGAATAATAAAAAATACAAACTAATTTACTGTTGATTGTTATTGCAATTTTGCAGTAGATTGAAATTAAAGAGTATACAGATGTAAGTAGTTTTACATGTTTGCATAAGGTTTAATGTGGAGTAGGTGGTGGAACAGGAATTGTTTGAAGGAATTTGTGGACCAGCATTGATATATGGATGTAGAAAGAGAGTTCCAAAAGGAGGTAGCATGAATGATGAACGATTTGCTGAAGGAACTAGTTTTATGGGAGAGTAAATATAAATCTATAGGTTGAAACCTGGTATTAAGAGAGTGGATAGAGGAATATAGAATAAGGAGTTCCCGGATGTACGGAGGGTTTTTGGTTCTGAGGACTTGGAAAAGGAAAACACCAAGGAGGAACTGTCGTCGGGAAGTAGGAAATAGCCACTTCAACTCAGTGTACCAGAATGAAACATGTGAAGGCCTGGGAATCCCGAAGATGTATTTGTCTGGATCCGATGAGAATAGCTTTAGTTTTATCTGCATTCAGCTTTAATTTGTTTATTTCTGCCCATCTGCTGATGCAGTCAATATCCTCTTGTTGCTTTCGGGCAGCATCAGGCATCTCAGAAGGTTAGAATGATTCGTAAATTTGGAAATCATCGGCATATAGGTGGTAACGGGAGTGTTGAATGGCATCGGGAAGATCACTAATATAAATAGAGAAAAGGGTCAGGGAAAGTGAAGAACACCTCGTTTTAGTTTAAGCGGTGAGGATGGAGGTTTGTTCGGAATATCTATGCTGTATTGTAGCCATTTTTCTCTCAAAATGTATGTGTAAATGGATTTTGCCTATAGAAATTATAACTTGAGAAAAATTAATATGAAATATTTATTTATCAAAATTGATATTTCAATGCTTTTTTTTTTTACTTGTTATTTTTCATGGTACAAAATTCATGAAAATATAATGAATTTATCAATTAAAGATTTTAATTTGAAAATAACAGGCAACTTAAGAAATTTTTTATATTTTCAGTATCCTTACGAAAACTGTTTATATCCTTATGAATTTTGATGAGTTGAAGGACCGGACAATTATTTATTTATTATGCTACAAGCATTCTGTTTTAGTAAGTGAAATATATATTGTCACAATTTTAATTTTATTAGTTCACCGCATGCTAACTTCTTTCCAAATCTTCATTAGACTGAGTGCTAAAATAATTATAAATAGAGATGATCCTAATTTTAATAAAATAATTAAAAATCAAATGCTACATATTGTCGGTTTATTTTAAAGTCACTAACTATATTTTTTTTTTATTTTGACCTTATCTATCGATATAAAAATACACTAACTGTCTCATAATGACATAAACTCTATCAAGTAAAATAACTTATTTAATTTTTTTTTATTTCACTGAGACATAATTCATCAAAGTCTTTAGTTATTTAATTTTCTGAAGTGTTACTTAATAACTTTTTGCAGTAAACTGACTATATCTTTAACTTTATATATTCCAATAGTAGACTAATAAAAATTTATTTTTTATCTGTATGATATTGGAGGATATTGAGAAAAATAAAGCTTTGAATCATATATGTAAATCAGTAATTAATGTTTTACCAATCGACATAACCAATACAGAAAAAATATAATAAAGATAACTTATCTCACACCAAGAGTTAAAAAGGAATGACCAAGTAGAAACAGTACATCTTCCTAAGACAATGTGTCACTGTGGAAGCGTCACAAATTTCTATTTTTAATGAAAATAAGTTACACAAACCATTTTATTTAATAGTATCTGCTGCATACGAAAACAATACTAGTTAAAAAAAATTTAAATTAATCTAACTAATAATATTATCTACATGTGTTTTACAGAAAGAGATTACCAACGTACTTAATATGTGTATACAGTAGGTGTTTTTAACTTCTCTGGAAATCAGACAAAATTGAGATACGCCATGATGTTTCTATAGTGCACAAGATATTATAGTTCCCACAGTTGAATAAGGTGATAGATTATATTTAACATGATATGGATAAGTCTAACATGTAAATGGACTTTATATAAAGCTTTTTTTGCATAAATGAAAAAATAAAGAAAATTTTTGTTACAAATTTGCAAATATATTAGAAACTTATATCAAACTGATCCAGCTTAAAATGTTGAACAAAATCTTCATATTTTCAAAAACAATTACATTGCAAAATAAATCATGTAATTATGTTCATTTTATTTATGTAGCCTAAAACTTCTGTTTGATGATATGAAATAATAATTTGAATTGTAACTGTAATAAGGTATACTTTTGTATTCTTGTCCAATAAAAAAAATGGTCTATATTATGTTTGTAAAAGTTTAGGAAAATGATCTATGGTTTTGTTTATAAATTGTTTTTTTTTTGTTTAGCATCAGATTTCATAAATTTATTGAGATTGGATATCACTAAGTTTGGAATTATGAAGTCTTAATATCAAAGATGTTTTTAACTCTTTATCCTTCGTTGAATTTCCCTTTCACTAAGCTATTTGTGGTTTTGTGAAATCATTTTACCTTGAGTTTTTCTTATTAAGAATCGGTTATTTCCTTGAAGCTCAAAACTGAATCAGTTATTTTGAAAAAACAGTTATTTAAAACTAAAAAAAATTAATAAAAATCAATTAAAATTATATAAATACAATTTTTGAATGGCATAGAAGTAAGCTTTATATTTAATGAAGAAATTAGCAATGTAATATTTATTATTAAGACATTTCTGATGGTCTGCATAATAACAGGTGTTTTAATTTGATTGCTCTAATGATAAACCGTTTAATTGAGCTTCCGCTTTATCTGTTTATCATACTTCCTAACATGCTTATCAATCTCGTCTCTGAAAATCTCAAGTCAATATACAGATCTAATATTTGTAAAAGGTCTTTAAAAAATTATTTTCAATTATCAAAAGGATTCTTCAACATTAATACAAAGTGTGGGTTCTTTAATAATGTGTGTATTTATATATATAAAGAATTTCATGTTTTTAAATTTATACACATTGTATAATATTTTCTATGGGTTTTTAATTTATTTTATTTTTTATTTGAAAGCATATATGCTGCGTGATGTGCTTCAACCTGTATATGTTTTGTCTGCTTCTTTAATGCTAGTTATACGTTTTTTTGAGTGTATGTTATTTACTTTCTGCATTTTAAATTATTTTTATCTATTGTGTTGATTGGTGAAAAATAGAACTAAAAAAATATCATACTTGAACAAAATATTTGTTCTTCAATTATGAGAATAGATTTTTTAAACCAAATTACTGATGTTTTGACTCAACTATGTTAGTTAAAATGTCAGAAAACTAAATTAAACAATTCTAATTGTTTATCATCTTCTTTTAAAAAATATATATATATCCATCTCTATTTTTTGTAATAATCCATTGTCTCTCTTAAATAAAGTTTGAATTTTCTGCCTCTTAATCTTGAACATTGTAATAGCCCAAATATACAATTATTTTTAATGTATTATAACAAAAAATGGTTTAGCTGTAAAATAATTAAAATACAAATATGTGTAAAGTAAATGATTTCCAAAATTATAATAAACAATCAGTTGTTTAAATGAGAAAGAAAAGGAGTGATTATTTGTCTAATGATTGTGAAGACAACCAGCTTACTGTAATTATAATTACTGCCATTTTATAAAAATTGAAAGCACTAATAGCCTTACGTATTGATGACACAGAGATAAATACACAGAAAGAGAGAGTTGAGTTTCACAAAATTTTTCTGTATGCATTAGCTCAAAATCGATAAGTCACACAATACTAAAATAGAATTTTTGAAGTACGATGTTACATAACAACTTTTGTGGTAAAATCATTTGGTCATTATATCATAAATTTACTACAAAAATGGCTTAAAATATTTAGACTGAATTTGTCTTATCAATGTACTATTAAATGGTATTTAATTTAGGATAGGAATTATCTTTATTGAAATACTGGGCTTGTAGGTGAATTTCCAAATTGGGATTGTTTTGAAATACTTTCAGTTTCGTTTATTTGAAATAATTAGTTGTTTCACATTCTAAGTAGTTATATAAATGGACGAATATGTACTATGAAAGGAGAAATATTTAAAGTAGTTTATACAATGGTGTGAAAAAGTCTTTCAACAAAAGTAATTTTTATAAAAATGTTAAATGTTTCAATTTAAGTCTTTTTTAATCTTTTTAATTGTAAATTGATTTTGTAGATCTTATATATATTTAAATTAGCAAACTTTTTAATTAACAACAAGCCAAA